AAGAACATTGCCTCTCCATCCTGATTCCTACATCCTGCCCTTTATCTTTTTTTTTTTTTTTAAGATTTTATTCATTCATTTGACAGAGAGAGACACAGCGAGAGAGGGAACATAAGCAGGGGGAGTGGGAGAGGGAGAAGCAAGCTTCCTGCTGAGCAGGGAGCCTGATGTGGGGCTCAATCCCTGGGATCATGACTGGAGCCAAAGACAGCTGCTTAACTGACTAAGCCACCCAGGCGCCCCTCCTGTCCTTTATCTGCTTAAAGTCCTGTGCAGGGAAACGGACTACCTCCAGGTCGCACATTCATCCGTGGACAGCACTGGTCAGTAGACCTTCCTTTAGCGCAGCCCCCAAATACGCTTTTCTGTTACTTCTACCCTTGAGATGGGTCATTCCCTCAGGAACAATACAGAGCCCATCAACTTCCTAAAGAACCCAAGACCAGATAAAGAAGTAGGACAGGTGCCCCTGGATTCTGTGCTGTCTGGGCTCTGTGGTAGGTCCCGGGACATGGTCCTTTTCAGGCTGTCACTTCTCCCTGAGGCACAGCGAGTTGACTACTGCCACCTCAGTTCTTCGTTCCAGCAACCAGTGTGGGGAGCTGGATGATGCTGGAGAGTCTCTGGGTCCCGGTGTCTTCACCCCTCCTCCCCATTGCTGCTTTATACCACTAGCCTGTATTGACCTGAGCTGGGGGCAGGTGTGTTGGAAAGAAGCTAGTTAGGGGGTGACGGTGGCTCAAAGACAGCCCAGAGTCCTCTGGGAATAAGGAGATTGGTTAAGATGGCCCAAACTGGGGGCTAGGGGAACTGTTGGTTAAGTTGTGGCTGATAACCAGGGCAGGAGGCCAGGGGTATCATCTGCCCTTTTGTGCTAGGGACCCTGGTTGCCTGAAGTGGCCCCAGTCAGATGAGAGGCAAGTCCTCAGCTTCTTACAGACACGGATGTTGACTTTGTCCTACTGCAGCTTGATGACCTAGGATCAACGTGTGATTGCTTTATTCACTGCTGTTCAGTGACAGACTGAAGGCTGTTCTAGACTGGGGCCTGGTCTCTTCTTCTGATGGCACCCTAATATTGGGCACTGTGTGGACAAGTATGCAGGATGACCACAGAACCCACTGTTAATGGATCATCATTTCTCTCATTTTCTAGTCTCCACCTTTATTATAACCTCATGCCCCAGATTTGTTACCAGTTTGGCAATGGAGGGACCAAGAAGGGAGATGTTGCCCATTATAACGTTCAAAGCCCCACATAGGGGAAAGAGTCATCTGGCATTTTCTCGGACATAAACTCCAGGAGAATCTAGGCCAAAGGAGCAAACCAAAGCCTGCGAGATAATTTATCTTTATTGCCTCAATAGCAGAGCATTCTACACAACATAAAGGATACCAGGGACAGTAACGGAACACGTAGGGAAACCAAACTTGGAAATTCTTTTACAAGGAGTTGAAGAGGTTAAGGACCCAACTTGATGAGACTCCAACCTTGACACTGTGGACAGTCTCTCAGTTAAATAAGGTGGAGCAACAGAACAAAGAGAAGGAGGGCAGGGAGAGGAATCCCTAAGAACCAGATGGTTTCAGGTCTCAGAGGAGTACCCGAGCCTATTCACAGTCTCTAACCAGGAAGCCTCTGTAGAGGGGCAGGCCTCAGGCCCTGCCAGGAGCCTCTCTGCTTAGGCTACGACTTCCTTCAACGCAGCCCCTAACTCTGGGAAGGAATACTGGTAGCCCGTGGCCAGTGTCCGCCGTGGGACCACCTTCTGGCCCTCCAGCAGCATGACTGCACGCTCTCGTCCAAAGACCGCTTGCACTACCACGCTGGGGAGAGGCATGAAGGCTGGGCGGCCCAGGGCAGCGCCGAAGGCCTTGGCAAACTCAGCATTTGTAGTGGTGGGGGCTGGAGCCACTCCATTCAGGACCCCCTGCACGTGGCTTGCTTCAGCGGCATGGGTCAGGATTCCTGCCAGGTCCCTGATATGAATCCAGGGGAAGAACTGGTGGCCTGGGCCAATGGGGCCCCCCAGACCCAGGCGGAAGGGCAGCAGCATGTGTCCGATGGCACCACCCCCACGGCCCAGCACAACCCCTAGAGCAGGGAAGAAGGACAGCACGGGAGGCTCCTCAACCTCCAGGCTGTTCCACTGTTCCTCCCGGTCTCCCCGTCCCCATGCCAACTTAGCTCTCTCTGGGGCTTCGAGTCCTCCCACCTGCAGGCTGGCCAGAAATGGCAGCCTCCTCTCACACTCTGGATGCTCAGCTCCCCTGACTCTCCCAGGCCCCCAGCCCAGGGAAGACATTCCAACCCTGTCTGATACCCAAGCCCCTGGTTCTCACCCGCGCGCACCACCACCTGGCGTGTAGACTCTCCAGGAAGCCTGGCTGCAGCTTCCCATTTGGTTACCAGGTTGGAGAAAAAGTCAAAATCCCCTCCTGGGCTGTCCTCATCATACTCTGCAGTCAGGCTGGGCTGGTAGTAAGCTGCTGGTGGAACAGCACTGGTTTGCCCCAGTGTCCTTGGTCCTGCCTGGCCCTTGGCACCCAATGTTCCCCATGGTCTCACCCTCCCCAGCCCCTGGGATCTTCCCATGGGAAGACAGAGCCATAGCTATTTTCCCTTTGAGCTGCTCCATGGGTTGACCCGTTGCTGCCCTGGGGTAACTTACCTTTAATTGCAGGCCTAAGTTGAGAGGCTGCTAGAGTGTAGTGGTTAAGAGCAAAGACTTGGGGGCCAGGCTGCCTGAGATCTACTCTTAGCTCCACCATTTATTAAGCCTGTGACTTCAGGCAAGTTATATAAGCTCTCTGTTGGCATCTTTAAAATGGGAATCATTTTCTAGCGTTCCTGTGAGGATTAAATGCTGTAATACGTGTAAAACACTTGGAGTAGCAGCTGACATATGTTCTATAGTTGTTTGCAATTATCCCGTCCCAATGGTGAAATACAAGAATGAGGAATTCTGTTCCTAAAGAACTGTGCCGTGACAAGCAAGGGACTTGGGAGTAGGTGGGACTTTTCCTGGCATCAGGAGCAGTGCCACTATCCCCTCTTCCTCTAGGGATCCCCATTTCTCAGTGAAAGTACACAAAGGTCAGAAGAAATATGCATGGATGGAGGGCCTAGGAAGTTCTGTATTTGGAAAAGACCAGCGCTCTGGTGCATGTAGAGCTAGAAGGGCCTGAGCTTGCCCCTCACTGCAACCTCTCTTCCTCTGGCTAATATAAAGGGTGGTGATTTGGGACATACCTACACCAGTGACTAAGACCCAGGCCTGGGGGGGTTGTGGGGCCTTGTTGATGGCTCTAGCCAGTATCTGGGTGGTCTCCAAGCGGCTGCTGAGAACCTCTTTTTGGAAGGTTTCATTCCACCTGCAGGAGAAACAAAAAGGAAATGAGCCACAAACATACCCCTTTCTCTTTCCCTGGGGCTCATCCAGACCCATTTCTAGCAAAACCTTGCATTGTGGTTTAGAGAAGTGGTCCATCTTTCCTGGAGAAAGAAAAGGCACATATTTTGGGCATCCTGAGTTATAAGTGAGGATGAAAGTCAACGGCTGAGAGGGCAGAAGGGCAGGTGGGTGTGCAGGGAGGAGTGGGGCAGGATGAGTAGTTTGGGATTGGAGTTTAGTTCTCCATCTGGACATCTCCATTCTCCACAGCTCATCAGGGTCACACCGTCCTCCCTCTGCTCTGAAGGCTATCAGCTTCAGGGCCGTGGCTGACCTTCGGAGAGGGTTGAGGATGTTCTCTCCCGCCAGGTTGACAGCGGCATCGCAGCGGGGCAGCCCCGACTTAGCAAGTTCATCCTGTCAGAGAAAACACAGTGCTGGGGGGTGGGTGTGGGGGCTCGCCCTGCGCCGCCAAACCAGACCGTCCCCCAGAGCTTCCCGAGGATGGACATACCCACGTGATCCGATCGGGCCCCGGTTTTCGGGAGACCAACGTCACTTCGTGGCCCCTGGCTTTCAGCAACTGGGTTAGGGCTGTCCCAATGAAGCCCGTCCCGCCACCTGGCCAGAAAATACGAGGTATTTATCCTCTCGAGGTCGCCTTCCATCCCCGCTTGTGGCCCCCTCCTCTGCTGCCATCCCATCTGACTTCAGACTTTTGCCCTCCTTGTCGCCCCCTCCCCGCGATGCAGAGGTGACACAGGTCACAGGGACTGGGGAGTTTCGGCTTCCTGGGGTAGGAGGCCAAGGCTGCACGATCACCTGTGCACGTTTCACTGCCCTCCCTCAGAAACTGCCTCCCACCTCTCAAGCTTTGTTTCAACCTTTCCATAAGCCCGCCCCCGACTCTCCCTTTCTGCCCTCCCTCACCCACAAGCACCCGCATAGCGACCAGGACCTAACGCGCTTGCGCAAGATTTGGCGGCGGCAGTGGGGGAGCCCAATCTTGGAAGCGACTACGTCCTCTGTGCGCATGCGTATTTCGGGAAGCGCGCTCCAATGGGGGGGCGGGCAGGATGGAGACTGGGCGTGGCCCTGCCTGGCGACCCGGAAGAATTCATAGAGAAGGCCGTATATTTCATTGCAAGGAGTGGCGGGGACGGGCGGGGGGCGGTGGACATAGACCGAATGGGCGGGGAAAGAACGGAAGAAGGCCGAGGAAGGAAGGCTTTAATGCAGAAACAAACCAAAACAAAACTCCAACCCCCCAAAACCCCTTGACCGAAAGCCTGTAGGTACTCAAACCGCGGAAATTTGGACGTCCATTCAGCCTGGTGGATCAGTAGTAATAGTAGCAAGAGAATTCGTCTACCCGTACTATGTGGATTTCTTTCGACCCGGCCTCTTTTCTTTTCCCTCTTCCGGTTCCTTCCTGTATTCTTTAGAACATTATAAAGTTCCCCTCCTTTTAAAATAACACATCTCCAGCCCTTTTCTTCGAATGCTAAGGCCCTCTCTCTGTCGTCGCCTGCATAGCCAAACTTCTCAAAGGAGTGGTGTCCATTTTCTATTCCCTAATTCACTCCCGTCTTTTTTTTTTTTTTTTTAAATATGGAATGCTTTGCGAATTTGCGTGTCATCCTTGCGTAGGGGACATACTAATCTCTGTATCCTTCCAATTTTAGTATATGTGCTGGGCAAAGCGAGCACCGCTCCTGCCTTTATTATTCATTGACTCTCGCCAAGATCACCAATTTCCCGTGTCACCAAAACGAATGCCCAGTCATTTTTCTTGACTTCTGTTTCACTGGACACTTGCTGGACACTTCCTCCCTTTGGAAATGCTCATCTCTTGGCCTCAGTGAAAGCCACAGCTCTCTTCTGGGTCTTTCTACTGTCTTTTTTCAGTTTCTGTTGCTTCCTTCACCTCCTCTGAGGTCTTAAAATGTTGGTATTTCTCGAAGCTGGGTCCTAAGACCTTTCTCTCTTCCCTCTGCACTTTGTTCCAAGTATCTATGTTGGTGAATTTGAGTCTGGACACCTGGTTCCTGGACCTGCTTTGAAAGCATAAGCAGAACTATAGTTGTGTTAGTTGCATTATTAACTTAGGTCTACCTTCTGTTTTGTTCCCTACTTATGTTTTAGCACCTCTTATCAATCATGAACTTTGCCTTTTCCACCCCATCCCTGTTTACCCACTGACTGTAGAAAACTAATGAGGGCTGGACAGAAACATTTGTCTTGAAATTATCTGATATACCATGTCCTGACTGACCCCTCATTCTCTGGAAAAAATGCATACCTCCAGATTGCCCCCTTTCAGGTTTTCAAGAAACCTCTCACCTTCCTCTCACATACTCACCTCCTTCTCCAAACATATGTAAGCTGTCCCTAGGTTCAACAGGACAAGGCAGTTTTGGAAATGGCTGCTCTTCTGATAATAGAACTTTCTTTGCTTCAAAACTGGTGTCTCAGACATTGGCTTCAGGTGCACCGACAAGTTTGAATTTCGGTAACAAATTTAGTTACCAGTTTTTCAGAGACTTCCTAGTATCCTATGCAACCTGAATCTTTCCTCTGACCTCCTAACCCCTATTAAAACTTCCTACTAGACATCTCTTTTTGGATGTCTGAAACCTTGTTGATTTTACTTACTAAATATCTCCCAGATCCATCTATTTCTGTTTATCTCTGCTACCACCACTCTTCTTTAAGTTATTATCCTCTTTTGTGTAAATTTCTGCAGTAGTCTCCTAGTAGGTCTCCCTGCTTCTGTGTGTTTCTCTTCTCCAAACTGTTCCACATGTTGCAAACTGAATGATTTAAAAACTTGTGGGAAGAACACTATGGTGGCATATATCTCCTAAAAAAAAACCCCTCCCACTGCAAATTTCCTGGATATGCTGGGTAAAGTTTAACACATCTCCATTTAACTGCATTGTGAAGGTAACTAGAAAATAAAGGAAATCCTCAGAGACCAAAAACAAAGGTTTTTGAGGTTACCTTGTGGTTGGTTTAAGTCTCAGTAACCCAGAGGCTTGGGTGACAGCAGATGATGCTTGGGACCCCTGCATAAAGCTCTTGGTGGGCTATGTCCTGAGGAAGAGGGGGGGGCAGGCTCAGTTCCAGGACCCTGGGATCATGACCTGAGCCGAAGGCAGACCCTTAACCACCAGAGCCAGCCAGCTGCCCTGATTCGAACTCTTCTATTTGGAATCTCAGAAGAGAGGGGACAGAGGAGGGGACATGGAAAATATTTATAGAGATAATAGCTGATTACTTTTCCAAATTAATGAAAGATATGAATACTCAGATTCAATAAGGAAAATGAATCTCAAGTAGAATAAATAAAAAGAAATCCATACATAGTCACACCATATTTAAAGTATAAAAACAAAGACAAAGAAGAGGTATTAAAATAGGGCAGAAGTAAAAGACAGATTATCTATAAAGAAATAACAGTTAAATGGACAACAGATACCTTCACTACAACAATATAAGCCAGTGGAGTAATACAATAAAACCTTCAAATGTGAAGAGAAAATAATTTTGCCATCCTAGAACTGTTTACAAACCGGCATTCAAGAATGAAGGTAAACCAAGGATAGTTTTAGACAAGACAAAAAAGAGAGCATTTACTATCATCAGACTTACAAATTTTGTCAGGAAAAAAGAGACTGATTTCAAAAGGAAGGTGTGAGATACAAGAGAATAATGATCCAAATGTTGGTAAACAAATGGGTAAATATAAACAAATATTGGCCATATAAAGCACCACAATAATATTTGATTTGTGGGTAAAAATTGAAGCAGAACTAAAATCTGAGTCAGCAATAATGGAGCTGGAGCTGAGTTGCTGGGGAAGGATAACAATGCTGAATAATAAACTTTGTGACATAAACATTTGAAAAATGTACTATTACATATTAGAAATAAAATGTGCACTTCCAAGTCAGTAGAAACAATAATCGAATCAATTCAAAAAAAGTTATCAAGAAATAATAAAAAAAAGAAAGTTTAGACAAAATTGGAAAGCTCAAAATAAGATAATAGGAATAATCAGTATCCATAGTACATTTAAACAGACTAAGAAATTGAATTAACTAGATGCACTGGAATTACAAATTTCACCATGGGTGAATCTTACAACTATAATGTTAAAATGAAAAAGAACTTGCAGGAAAGTAATTGCAATATGGTACTATTTATTTTAAGATTAAATATAGGCAAAATAATGCACTTTTTATTGAGGAGACAGATTTGCAGTTAAAGTAAAAAGGAATGCATGGGAGTGAAAATGAAAAAAAAACCTCAGGATAGCATTTACCTGTGGGGGTGAGCAGAAAAGCAGTCCAGGAGGAGTACTGGGGAGACTGACTTCTTATTTCTTAGGTGAGGTAGCGGGTACGTGGGCATTCATTTTGTTTTTCTTTGTCTGAAATAAATAAGAATATGTAGTTGTTTGAAAGTTTATAGTCCATCTCAGATGTGCAGAAACAGAACTTTTTTTTTAATTTTAATTTTTAAAAAAGATTTTATTTATTTATTTGAAGTGGGGGAGAAAGAGAGAGCGCGAGTGAGCACGAGCATAGCAAGGGGAGAAGCAGAGGGAGAGGGAGAAGCAGACTCCCTGCTGAGCGCAGAGCCTGTCACTGACTTGGGGCTGACGCAGGGCTCGATCCCAGGACCCTGAGATCATGACCTGAGCTGGAGTCAGACACTTAACCAACTGCGCCACCCAGGAGCCCCAGAACTTTATTACTTATAGTTGAACACAACTTGCTCATGAACGCTTCTCTTTGGCAGTGGAATAAACTTAAACTCAACCAACCAAAGTAACTTTCTCATTTCTAGTTTAAAAGTTCTCAGTTCATTCAGTTTTCTGTGAGTAAATTCTCAGTCTTTCAGAGTACCTCATCTGTCTTCTCCCTTCCCTCTCCCCGCTGGACACCTGGGGGTAGGAGATCTTTGGTCCAGGCACTGCCATCCTGTGCGGAAGAATCTCTTCTTGTTCGGCCTTTGCATGTTGCCAGCTATTGGCTGAGACATGGCTGGTTAGGCCAGGCCTCTGGGCATGGTGTTTGGATACAAACTCCCAAGCTTCTGAGTGTTATATCTTCTATCTATGATACCCATGGTCTGGAGTGTCTCCTAGGAGAGTGAGGAACTCTCAGCTTGTCTTCTGGCCAACAGCATGGAATGTACGGGGCTTGGTAAGTCTCCCCTTAGGCTCATCTCTTTGTTATTTGCCATAATCATTACTGCCCAAGCATCTCGCTGCAGTCTAGCACTGTTAGTTACATACTGCTGTTAACAAATTATCTCAAAACTTAGTGGTTTAAGGGGTGCCTGGCTGGCTCAGTTGGTAGAGTGTGTGACTCTTGATCTCTCGGGCTTGTAAGTTTGAGTCCATGTTGGGTGGAGAGATGACTTAAAAAAATAAAATCTTAAAAAAATAATTAGTGGTTTGAAACAACAATAATAATATTTATTATCTCATACAGTTTCTGTGGGTTAAGAATCTGTGAGCAGCTTAGCTAGGTGGTTCTGGCTCAGGGTCTCTCAAGAGGTTATGGCCAAGATAAGGGTCAGGGCTGCAATCATCTGAAGACATGGAGGATCCTTTCCCAAGGTGGCTCACTCACTTGGCCCTTGGCAGGAGGCTTTCATTTCTTGCTGGCTGTTGATAGAAAACCTCAATTTCTTGCCATGCAGATGTCTCCATAGGGCTGTTAGAGTGTCCTTATGACATGGCAGCTGGCTTCCCTGGAGCTAGTGATCTAAGAGAGTAAGATTGAAGCCTCAATGCCCTTAATGACCCACCTAGACTTGGAGGTTCCGTACAGTTGCTTTGACCATGATCTATTTGTTAGAAGTGAGTCACCAAGTCCAAGTGGAGGGGAATTTGACTCCAGCTTTTGAAGGGAGGGGTGTCGAAGAATTTGTGGACCTATTTTAGGAGCACCACAAGCTCTGTGCTGTAATTAGGACTTCTCTGAGAGGCTCATAGTCTCTCAGCTATGCTTGGGGATTGGGGCACAATCCTGCTGATTTCAGATGTGTCCTCTACCTCTCTGGGTCCAGTATCTCTCTCCGCCCCTCTAGCTGAGTTCCTTCTCAGAGAAGCCATGCAACATTTATAATCTAGTTTTGACTTCACCAAATCTCTCTGAGCTCCTTCCCCACGCCCAGGAAAACCTGTGTGATGGGCAACTGCTCTGATGTCATATCCTGTTTCCTTTTTATTCTTTGATTTATAGAACAAACTCTTTGCTCAGTCTTCCAAGATCTGATTTGTTGGAACACCTAAATAATTTCTTCTCTCAACAAAACTTTGCTCTTGCAAGTGAATCTCCTACTTTCCGAACTATTCCAGGCTCTTTTCTATTGTAATTTGGCTTTATTTTCAGGAAGATTTATCCCTTTTATGGCAAGGATGGCTTCTTGGCTCCTAATCCCAGCAAAAATCTCAGAATTGGGGGCACCTGGGTGGCTCAGTCAGTTAAGTATCTGCCTTCGGTTCAGGTCATAATCCCAGGGTCCTGGGATTGAGCCCTGTGTCAGGCTCCCTGCTCAGTGGGAGCAGGGAGCCTTCTTCTCCCACTCCTCCCTGCTTGTGCTCTCTGTCACTATCTCTGTGTCTCTCTCAAATAAATAAAGTCTTTAGAAAAAAAAATCTCAGAATTGACTCTCATTGGACTGATTTGGTT